GTCCACTTGGATGGACAACTCTTTTAACCATCAACTCTGTACGGGCCAAATCTATCTGGCCACTGACCCCTTTTTTCCTGCCGAGCACCTTTTAATTCCACTCCATGAGCTCTGTAAGTCAGCTGGCCTGCAGTGGAAGTCAGTGAGCAAAGCCACAACAGTCAGGAAAAATACAAGAGAGAACCACCTCCATCCCCTTGTCCTCCCATACATCCCATGGGCAGTGCAATATAAATGTCACATGGTGAGAAATAGTTCCATCCATGTCTGTGGCAGCCAGCTGTATGGCACAAGGTTGTGGGGTATCTCCTTAGCTTTAAAACTTTTAAATTCTTTTCACTCCAAAGGTGGACATTTGATAACATCTGAGAAATGAAAGATTTTCATCATCTGACTCTTAGGGCCAAAGTGTCCACCCTCTCAGAGAACCTTGACCAGTCTGCTCAGGCCACCGGATTCTGATTCACCACAAAGCCCCCACCCCAGACAGCTACTCTGTGCACGGAGGCCAGGAAGGGTGCTGGGCTGAGCTCTCTAGGCTGTCTCATTACCTCATCAAAAGGCTTGGTGATGCTGGTCTCCAACTGCCAGTCCAGCGTCCTCCACACCTTCAGGCTGCGGTCATCAGCTTGAGAGGCAATATATTTACCAACAGGGTCCCAAGTCAACCCCTTTACCAAGCCAGAATGACCTCTCAGAGTAGCTAGAATTTCTGTGAAGAAAAATAAGAGATTGGAAAGGTGTTACCTAGAGGACAACGATGACTCTATATAGAAACATGAACTACAATCCATGGGCTATGGAATGGCCAACCAAGAGAAGGAACTTCAGGAGTGCAGCTTGGCCAGCCCCTCTCCTGTGCACAAGCAGAAGAGCCCCTAATCTAATTTCCACGAAGGCAAAACCCACCTGAAGACTGCACCAAGGAGGCGGGCATCATGATCGCTCTTCACTCACAACTAACACTTGTGGGCTGAAGCTGCATATGCCCTGGAGGGGCAGGCAATCAGGGGCCTCGGCTTGGGCCAGAGCCATATTCTGCCCCTTTATCTTGTCTGTAGTTGGTGGTATTGCCTGTGGTTTGCCTTTCTAGACAGAAGCCCATGCTCACCTGGGTTGTCACATTGGCATTTCTGATGTGAACCTCCCTGGCAGCACAGGGGACTTGGCACTGCACTGAGTCCCCTGTAAGTCATCACTGAGGACAGTGTGTGAGACAGTACCTCCTAGAAATCCTCCCCTAAATGTTACCCCAGCTCTAAATCTGCCACTTGGTGGCCAGGTTGAGTGTCAGCACACATACTGGTGGTTTATAGGGAGAAAATGACTTGGATTAAGTCCATGGACGATGCTTTTCAGCCCATGAGGAAACCATATCCAGATACGAAGCAGGAACATAAGCAATATCTTACTAGGTATAAACTGCAGGTTATGCCATCTGTCATGACTTCAAACACATTAATATGAAAAATTAATCTTTTGCAAAACTGGATTTGCTAGCCTGCATCTGCTCAAGGGTGTCACAGAGGAGGTGGCAACTGAGCTGAGGCCAGAGCCCAGTGGTGGAACGGTTACCGTTGAAGGCATATGTGTGGAGGAGATGCTGGGGTGCACATGAAGGCACAGCATGGGTGGGAGTGTCAGGGCAAGCTGAGCACGGTCCCCAACGCCAGTTGTCAATGTACCACCCTCATGATTTGTGGCACATCCATGTTAGCACCCAGTTACTATTTTTCTTTAACATAAAACTCTTTTAAACCTTTAAACAAATATAACTGATGAAGAAAAATAACTGAATATCTGACAAGACACATGAATCCCTGCCCACTGTGAGACACATGCTGCCACCAGCCAAAAGAGAGCCATCCTGCTCCAGACACCAACAGAGATCACAGATGATGAGCAACCCATTCCTGCTGCCACCCAGCCAGAGGAGCCCAGACCTGGGAACTTCACTGCATTCCAGATGACAACAGTGTTATCCACGCTGCACGAAGCCAGCCAGGCGTCATGAGGAGACCATGCTACGTCCATCACATCTGGAAGACAGAGGGCTGGCGTTGAGTCTCTTACCTGGAGTGCAGACTCGGCAAGGGGGTCAAAGCAGTACCACCCATCTGCCAGCTGGTGTCATGTTTGAGGAGACTTGACCTAGGACCATCATAAGGAGACTCTTTTTGTAACCATTTTGAAAAACTTCCCCACTAATGATTTTCAATTGGTCATAAATTTTGAAGGATCTGATTCCTCGCTACCCCTTTCATACATGAGGCAACTAGGGGCACAGCTGAAAGCGTGGTGTCTTGTGGCATTGCACCCATGTATTAAAACCACGGCTCTGATACCTATCGGGCCTGTGGCCTGGGGCTCGCTCCTCAACCCTGCTAAGCTTGCTTCCCCCATTCTAACTGGGCCTATCTCACACAGCCCCTTGAGCACTGCAGGTTCTACACTTAGCAGAGTGCTTGACACACAGTCAGAGCTTAATAGCTGCTGACTGAATGAGAGAAAAGCCATCTTCAGACCCTTTCCCCCATTAATTAGCTCTCATCTCCAAGATCCTGACAGGAATACCCCTTCCCTATGGAGCCCCCAAACACAATCAATCATGCTCATTTCTTTGTGACTCCGTTTTCACATCTGTAGAATGAGGATTTAAAATAGCACCTATCTGAAATACATGCATACATACATAAATAAGCAAGCAACTATCCTTAGAAGGTTGCTGTGAGGATTAAATGTGAGAAATTGCTGTAGGAAGGCATCAGGCACACTCCAAAGCATCTATAAAAGTCAACGTGATGGTGACTATGCCCATCTCACATGCAGGGTGATGGGCACGGTCTTACTGATTGATCTACTCTCATTGCCTGATGCAGCGCTAGGCGTACAGAATAGCTGCTGAGATGAAGAGAAACACAGCAGCAAGTGATGCCCATCTCACATGCAGGTGTGACGGGCACGGTCTTACTGATCGATCTACTCTCATTGCCTGATGCAGCGCTGGGCGTACAGAATAGCTGCTGAGATGAAGAGAAACACAGCAGCAAGTTATTAGCTTTCGAGTCCTTTCCTCATAGGATTTTTAAAAAGAGGTGTAAGCAAAATATTCAAAATTTCTATTGTATTTTTTTTTCTAGTTAAAAAAATCTTCAGTGACAGCTGGATGAATTTTCCACATTGTACTAGCATTCCCATTTCACGCTGTATGCACTGGTATGCTGCTGGAACATTCTAACAGTGTATGTGATCTTCAGGGCTTATTTTGATTTGTGCTGCATTCTATGTCGTTGAGAGCATTCGCTACCATAAACAGACCTAATTTAACAATGAACTTTGACTGGGTTCCAGTTTTTCATATTAATGAGCATGTGGGTATGTGTCACTCTCCACATCCTGGATTGTTTGAGCCCATTACCCCAAACTGGGAATCTGGGAAGAAAACTGAACATTTTCCTAAGCCTGGAGTCTCTTAACTCTGCAGACTGCTTTTCAAAGACCTCTATGACTTCACACTTCTATAAGCAGAAGGTCCATTTCAAGACTCCCCTAATAACTTGAGGATTATGATCTTTTCCCTATTAACTCGTTATATTTTAAATTTTACTTTGACTAGTAGTGAAAGTGAAGGTTTTTCACATGTTTGTTTAGAGTTGTCTTGTCCTTAGACGACACTGCTCCTGTTTTTGACGAGCTCTCCTGTGCAGTGGTCTAACAAATACAAGGACCGAGAACCTCCTCTAGGAGCTGAGTCCAGGAGGGCAGACATGTGAACCCCAGCATTTCACCATGGTGCCTAAGTCCTAGAGCAGAGAAGTGGTTAGCTGGGAATCCAGAAAGGAGACGTGATTTTCTTTGCAATTTCCATGGACTATTTCTAAAAAAATGTATTTTTAGGGATTTCAGAGAGGGAGAGGGAGATAGAAACATCAATGAGAATCATTGCTCGGCTGTCTCCTGCATGCCCCCTACTGGGGATTGAGCCTGCAACTCAGGCATGTGCCCTGACCGGGAATCGAACCATGACCTCCTGATTCATAGGTCGACACTCAACCACTGAGCCACACCAGCCAGGCTACATGGACTATTGATACTATAGGCATTAGCTGCAAATTCTATCAGTTTGCCTTCCTATGTTGTAGAAGATTCACGTAGCAAACTGTTATTCTTCTTTGAGACATTCTTTACTGCCTGTTAACTTTGAAAAACATTCCTTCTGCTAGCGGTTTGATACATATTCAATTGCTTTTCTTCTGTTTTAATTATTTAGACTGTTTCTCTTTAATATCTGAAGTTTATTTTGGTGTATGTTGTATTAGTGAGCTCTAAATTACTTTATCCTCACCCAGGAACTGCTAATGGTTACTCTATCCCAATGGGGAATAATTCTTTCTATTAGGTACACTGTAGCCTACTTTAATGTTGTTAGTTTTAACCAGAAACTCACTCTGTGACAGTGTAGCTTCCACAACTTTAATTATTCTTTCAGATGCCCTTTCGAGTCACTGCTGAGGTCTGCAATCCGGGACCCTTTGGGGGATGTCGGAGAGCTGGTTTCAGCCTGACCCTTGCAGGGCCAGGCCTAGTGACCCCACTAGTGCACGAATCTGTGCACCGGGCCTCTAGTATGCATATACGATCTTTGGTTAATCTCTTCCTGCCCTCCCCTTCCTCCCCGCCCCTCTGAGATTCATCAGTCTGTTCCATGTTTCCATGTCTGTGGTTTCCGCTCCTGCGTTGAGCATCTGCCCCCTGCTGGTCAGTGTGCATCATAGCTACTGGTTGGACGGCCAAATGGTCGGCAGGTCACTTAGGCTTTTATATATATATAGATATTCTAATAGGCTATTACTAGTGAAAGATAAATAATTACAAATTTTCTTATATGAGGCCAATTCAATAATTCATTTTTATTAGCCCCAAGTGTTTTTCAAGGCTTTATGAGTTCTAAGAGCTTTCTTCCTTTGGGTTTTCTTGATATACAATACCATGCTCATATCATTTCATTTTTGTCTTATTTCCAGTATGTTTATCTCCTTCTCATTTGCTTTTGTGTTGCAGAAATTCCAAAGTAACAAATTAAATGATAGCACCCATCCTTGTCTTTTCTCAATATAAATGGGAACAAGGCTCAATTGTGAACTGTAATACTTGCCATTGGTTGGAAAAAGACAGATGACTTTATCATGTTAAGGAAATAACTTTCTAAGGCCATTTTTTAAAAAGCATTTTTATTAGGAAATGATGCTGAGTTATCTGTCTTTCAGAATACCTCATCAGATGACTCCGTGCTTTTTCTCATTTAACCTCCTAGTATGCTGAATTATATTAACAGATTTCCTTTACACAAGTCTTCCATTATAAATCATATTTAGTCAAAATGAATTAGTTTTCAAATGTTATGAACTTGTGAGTATTCCCCTTCTGACTTTTCTATCTTCATTCATATTTGTCTATGCTTTTGTTTCACTGTTACTTTTATTACATTTGGAAACAGGGTTAGAGCTTCCAGAATAACTATTTCTATGTTTCAGAGTCATTATTCTTAAAAGCTTAAAACAATGCATCAAAAAATAATTTAGGACCAGGAATCATTTCTGAAGGTAGTTTCCAACTTCTTCATTGGTTACTACTTTGTTCAGTTTTTCCTAACCTTATGATATTAATTTTGAAAACGTTTATTTTCTAGAAAATTATATCTATCTTAGTATTTTGTTTTGTTTTTTAAATTTTATACTATATTAACAGTACATTTTGTACTCTTTGATGCTATTCTTCCTCTAGGTTAATTGTTTTTTGTTTTTTTAATCCTTACCCAAGGAGGATATGTTCTATAACTTTTTCTTTTTTTTTTTGAGAGAGAGAGAGAGAGAGAGAGAGAGAGATATCAATGTGAGAGAGAAACATTGATCAGTTGTCTCCTGTACACACCTCAACTGGGGATCGAACTTGCAACGTAGGCATGTGCCCTGACCAGGAATCAAAACCGCAACCTTTCGGTGTATGAGATTGATGTTTCAACTAATTGAGTCACCCAGCCGGGGCTAGGTTAAATGTTTTTTAAGACCTCTTACTTCTAATTTCACCTAGGTTTTCTTTTCTACCCGCAATTAAATATGCTAAGTGTATGTTTTTCACACTTAGACCCAGTGCTTTCTATTCATTTATTTCTTTTTCACTATTTTTTTCTTCTTAAATGGTTCCACCCATACCTACTATCAGGACCACTGATTAAGAAGTGGCAGGTACCCCTGTTGAAGGTGGGCAATCCTACCTGCCTGGTAAAGGAGAACCCTGGGGTACTGGGCCAGGAGAGAAGTCAAGGTTATGGCTCAGCCTGAGTCTCAGGTTAGGAGCCCCATAAAAGCCTGAGGCCCCACCACATGCTTGAACACCCTCACAGCCATATGTGCCAAAGTTCCAGAAACCCATCTAGATTCCACTGTGAGCAGCCAGAGTAAGTTACAGATTTTTACTATTATCAACAATAACAAAATGCTACTGTCAGCTTTCACAAATTTAGAATCAATCTGGTCACCAAGAGGTGGGTTTGTTCACCTTCAAAGTGTCTGCAGAGTATTTGCCGAGCATACACTGCCAATGGGTTATAGCTGATGCTTTCCAAGCCTCTCACTCCTGCCCCATGTTCCCCCAGAGCTCCAGGCTCAATTCCAACAGTCTCTTGACATTCTCTCCCCAGCTCCCTCAAACTTAGCCTACCCAACAATGAACTGGTGTCCATGCCCATAAGCCTATTGTTCTTATGATTTCAGTAGAGTACAACCACTGGCTATTCATGCACCCAGCTAGGACTCTCCTTCATCACTCCCCTTGCTCTATCCTAAGAATTTCCCAAATAGTCTCTTCCTCTCTGTTTCAATTATCATAGGCCTATGTCAGGCCCTTAAAGTTTTCATCCGAACCACTGACACAACCTTCTTTTCCCCACAGCTGTCAGAATGATTTCCCTCTTGGCTTCAAAGCTTTTAATGACTCCCTGCCTCTTCCACAACAAAGGACATCCTCATTAAAAGGTCCCTGCACACTCAGCTAACCTCACTCCGTGCTGCTTCCTGCCTTGTATATAAAGATCCAGCAGTAGTGAAGTGCTGCCTACTCATTCACAGCAAACCTCTCACTTCTGCTGTCCTCCCTGCCTGGGAAACCCTCCAGGATATTCCTGGGCTAGACCACAGGCTTTCTGAGGTAAGACTAAGTGATATTTGTTCTGGCATCCCTCGTGCCTAACGAAGTGTACACCACATAGTTTTAGACTGCTATTGACTGACTGACCTTCCTCCTCTCCAGTTCAAATCGGCACAATGTGTCTTTCCATTCTAAATCTATTTACAACACTTTGCAAACATACTCAGGGTCAAGTAAAAAACTTCATTGGGCCCCTATATTCTAGTTTCTGTGGAATAAATAAAGTGCGCTTACGGACTTAGTGATCCACTGATGAAGGTAGTGACTCAGTTCACCAGGATAAACAGCAGAACGTGGGGAGTTCTACATTAAAAATATAAACATATACCCCATGAGGGCAGGAGTGGGGGCACTGAATGCAGCTGGAGGCAGGCAGTGGGGACGATGACTGCACAGACCTTGAGGGACAGGCAGGGTATGACCGATGGTGATGGGGAGGGGTGACCCAGACACAGAGCTGGTCTCAGACAGCTGCTGGGGCCACCCAACCCAACAGGCAGCCCCACTCACCGCCTGAGTGACTCCGGAGGATGGAGACACATCGCCACTGCTCCACGTTGGCAAGCTTACCACTGGAGCCGAAGACAGTGCTGGGGCCGATGTACCTGTGTGAAAGAGGAATCAGAAAGGCACTCCAGGGAGGCTCTGGCACTGCACAGAGATGCTCACTGCAGCATGGCTTATCATGGCAGACAGAACAAAGCAAAAACAGACAATGGCTGGAAAGCACTGAATTGTTGAGCAGCAGGAGCTGATTGGTAAATTATTTGCACTTGATGAAATACTACACAGTTATCACAAAGCTTGTGGTAAAAGACTATCCACTGCATGGGAAAATATTCACAATATAAAATTAAGTGAAAGAAGTAGGTCACAGGACAGCATATACAATATATCACTATGTAATGAAAAAATTACATGTACGCATGGAAATGGATCAGGACACACATAAATAACACCAAAATATCAACCATAGCTTTCTTTAGGTGGTGGGATTATCATATTTTTCTTTTATATTTTTTTAGTTTTCCGAATTATATACTTAATATTATTTATGTTGGCTAAAGCAGCAGAATCAACAGTAGTTTTTAAGCCCTCTTATAAAGAATTGAAAGCCTCGGCCTTAACACCTGAGGCAGAGAAAGCACTTGAATCACAGGTACTAGCTCCTGGCACTCAAGCAGTCACGTGAGCTCCCATGGAGGTGGTGCCTACACCACTGACATGCCTCTGTTGACAGCCTTCGCTCCTGTAGAATTCTTCACAAACTCACAGAAAGACCTTGCTGGGGCAGCTGGGTAGGACAGTGTGCCTCTGCTCTCAAAGCCAAGGCCATAGGGCCACTCTGGCTGAGCAGTGGGGTAGGTCTGAGTCCCCAGCTTGACTGGACCGATTCATCTGGGGAGTTGGTTATGGAAGAGTCCCAGGACCCACCCTGAGAGAAGCTGCCTAGGTATAAAGAAGAAGAGTTTTCTAGGTGATGGTTAGCTCACTATTGGTGCAAAGAAAGGGCTTTCAAGTGGGGACTCCTTAGAGGTCAGGGTTGAGCCAGACAGAAAATGAGGTGAATGGCTAAGAGGGCGGGCTCTGGATCCCTCCCCAGATTCCATCAGATCACCTTGACTTTTAACCACATTGCATGTTGGGAAATCTCATTTGAAGAACAAAACAAAGGAAGCCACCAATGTCAGCATTGGAAGGGATTCGCCCTTAACCTTGTTGCCTGGCAAGGGACAGTTGAGCAGGTCACTAGAGAGGTTGGTGGCCTTCTGTCTCCCTGGTCAGGCCCCATCTGCTCCTGGCCTGTGTGTACTTCCTGTTTCTTATGAAGTTGGGACTCTGGGGACTTTAGTGCCAGGGTAAAGAAAGTGACTGTGATAAAGACCAGCAAAGAAGCTTCTAAAAATAAAATGTGAAGGAAAATGATGCTTACGTAGCCCGCTTCCACACCATAATCAGTTTGTCATCTCCCCCAGAAGCTAAATACATCCCACTGTTTGACCACCGCACACAGTTCACACATGCTGGGAAGAAAAAAAAATAGGGTGATGAAAATCCAATAGTCATTTGTTTAAGCAGAGTTTGGCAAGATGCAAAGGGTTTATAAAGTCTAGTCTATCTAATCTATTCAAGGCATCTACTGTGTGAGAGCCCTAGAAAAACAATTCAGTTCAAGCACTAATCTACTTGTGCTATAATAACAAATGACCAGAATAGAGCCTGGAGGGTGAAAGGCTACATAACCTGAGAAGTGTTAGTGCTGGATGAAGTAGTCAGTAGGAGGAGGCTCACTGCCATGAAAACTGGTGAATACCTAAATCTCATTATTTAAAAAGGGCTGTCTAATGATGAGATGTATTTCTGAGGAGGGATAACTCTTGACCGGAAGACAAGTGCTAAATAGGCCAAGATGCCTTCTCCAGAGCTTTCAGGGAGCAGCTTGGGTAAAACATAAAACTCTGACTTCATTCCACCTGTCAGCAATTAAATTCGGATTTCCCAAACTCATCAGCACTGCAGGTCGATTGATCCTGCACTCGTAAACTGAGACCAACAGAAATCCCTCTTGGATCCTGTTGTGCTGCAGCCTCTGGGAGCACTCACAGCTCAACCTTTGGGAGCCCAGCAATACGAGGGACACTATCCAAGTTGTGGCCCACACCAGGCTGTGAGTGACTTGCGCTCCAAGTTGGAGGACGCCAAGAGACATGTTGGGAGAGCAAGAACATAATAGAGCAAAGGCAGGGGATGTAACCGTTATTGGAGCATTTCAGGGGAAGCAGCCAAGTACAGTCACCCTGATGCTCAGGGGCGGGAAACTAAGGCACTAATGCAGGAAAGAAAACCACATACTGTCCAGCAACCAAAAGGGTCCTGGTAGAGGGTCTCTGAGTGACACAGTGGCAATCTGAGACATTTTGTAAGTTGTCTTTTACACACCCTTCCCAGAACCCTACTGCTTCCAGGTTGCTGGCCCCAAAGCCCCATGGAATCAGGCAGTAACGACTCATGAGCAGGAAATCACCAGAGGTACCTGCAGACTGTCCAAAGATGGTTCTGTGGGCGGGCCGAGTCTTCTGCCGAATAACTCACCCAGGTGTGCAGCCAACATCTGTGCCTTCAGACAGCAGGCCGAGGGGAGTTACCGCCGCACGGGGCCTTATCTTTCTAATTACAAACACATGTGCTAACCTTGGGCACTCTGCCAACACGAAAAGCCTGCAAAGGGCCACTCTGTAATACCTAAGTGATTGTCCATCTGGCAAAGCATCTTGGGAATATTTTCATCCTTCTCGTCATCCTCCTGGAGGACTGGAGACATATTCCAGATCACAACCTTCCCAGAATCCTGTCCTGGAACGAAGGGGCAGAAATAACTCAATGCACAAGGAGTAGACTATTAACTATGAGACATAGTCCTCACCTAGCTTTCATAAATCATAACTAACTAGATTGGGGGAGACTGAATTTGAATTACGAATATAAGTTACAGGAAAGATTAAGAAAAACAAGTGCTGATGGGGACTCAAAAGGTGTGGATTTAGTACTATGCAGAGGCCAACCTGACTTTATGAAAAGAACTCTAGACCAGAATCAAATGAGGACCAAGTTCTGGTCTGGCCTCTAACACGGATCCACCAGACGCCCCCCTAGAAGGTCCTCATTCCTGCCCAGTAACCAAAAGGGTCCTGGTAGAGGGCCTCCAAGTGACACAGGGGCCATCTGAGACATTTCATAAGTTGTCTTTTACACCCTTCCCCCAAACCCTACTGCTTCCAGGTCGCTGGCCCCATCTGTAAATGAAGAGGCTGGAAAAGCCTAGGCCCCAACACCCTTTCAGGTCTCTGCATGGGCTTCTCTCCCTTTTCAGGTGCTGTCTGCAGTCCATGGCTGTTCTCACATGGGTGCTTTAAGACCCCGGTCTGAAATGTGCCTTAAACACTAGAAAAGGTCTTCATTATCTTACCGGCTCTTTGCCATCAACAGATGAGAGATCAACCAAAAGAGGGCATTTCGGGTGCCTATGGTCATAGGCTGATGTAGTATTGGGCTAAAAAATATATCTATGCATTTCAGTAATGATTTTTCTTTCTAAGATTTCCATTACTGATAACTAACAAAATCTAGCCCCTCATTTAACTTTCTGTTATAGAGGGGCCGATGCTCTATCCACCGAGCCAAACCAGCTAGGGTGTAAACGTATTTTTAAATCAGCTCTTCTAGAGTGTACTATGCCGAGTAGGTCAGGAAGGTGTGCCTCTTCTTGTGGATGAGGAGAAAACTCTGTTACCCCAGCTAAGTCCGCTGGTCCTAGGTGACGCCTGTGGGCACCTCTCGGGTGCAGCCGGCAGCACGCTGGAAGGAGATCAAGGCTTCCCTGTAAGCCCCAGCAGCAGGAAGTCTTCAGACAACCTGCTCTGCAGCACTTGCAGACCTGGAACTCACAGGGGCACTCTCCAGTCCTGTCCAGGGAGGCCTCAGCCAGAGGGAGGCCGTGCTCTATAGTAAAGCTGCCGGGGGACTGGGCTCTGTGGGAATGCTACTTTGTGTGACCATATATACATCTTGGTGTCCTGGCCTCAAAAGTGACTTTGCCTTTCCAGAGTTCCTACTGCAATATTGCAGCAGACACTGGGTAAAACACACCGACAATATCCTGGATCATCTTTTCAAATGGCGTGCACATTTGTACTTGCGCTCTAACCCACTTGAATTGCTTTGAGCCTGGAGAATGGGCCTGATAACCACATGACTGACTCCAGAAATTAACCATCTCCTCCCCCTTTACAGATGAGAAAACACTGCCAGAACCAAGATGAGGACCAAGAGCCCTTGCCTCTGGGGCTGGAGCTTTGTCTAGGAGACTACCTGCCACTTTTCATGCTCAATAAGCTTGGGCTCGGACATGCAAATTGATTCTAATATCAACCCAATAAACAGAAATTAGAAAGGTAAACCTGCTATCGAAATATCTATACAGAGCACACTCTAGTGCCAAAAAAGGATTTTGATGTGACTTGTTCAGACTTAAACTGAGTCACATCTATACTGAAAACAGCAAATATTCTTTCTATAGCTCAATCGGTGACCAGGAGAAGCAGAGCTAGGCGCAGGGCTGTGAGCATTCCTGTTATTCCATGAACATACCTTGTCCTCCAGTTGCGAACTTGGTCCCGTCAGGGTGAATATCAACTGAAAATATTGGCTTGCCTGGAAACAAAGAAAAAACACACACAGCATCGCCTTGGCTTCTATTCACTGAAGAATAGCAACAGACTCAAACTTTTAAAATATTGGTTATTCAAACAATATCCCTAATTACTGATCCTAGGAAAAATACTAGTAATATACTACCATGTACACTCACCTGACAGTGAGGGCGGAGTGATCTAAGTTTTAAAGTATAAACTGCTGGAACACTGTCCAAGTGACATTAACTAGATGAAAGTATAAAAGTGGAACTAAGCAATCGTCCCTAGAATGACTGAGCCCATAGGTCACATGGGCATTTACACAGAGGTCTACTGGATAAGTGCTTGACACCTTCCAGGGATACATGTTTGTAAAGGCTATTCATGACAACAGCTCTGAGTCACAGGGGCTACTAGGATATACTAGTACATCCAGCCATCTCCCCATCCCATGGATCAGCCTGGACACGGGATGCATGCCCTGGCTTTTCTGCTGACTGAGAGCTGGGTAGGGCCAGTGGTTGTCTGCGACACACTGCTTCCCTCATCATGCTTCTGCTTCCAAAAAGCTTCGCCCCCATACATTTGTGCTGCATCAATGTCCACGGAGAGTCGGCCTTCTCGGCACCTCTTTTTGCTGCTCCTCCTTCCATGGTACGTGCCCGATGTCCAAATAGCTGTTCACTGGTGAGTGGTAGCTCAGTAATATTTGTTCAGTGACAAATTTAGATGGCGTGACAATGGATTGAGCACGAGCAATTGCTGTTGCCAAAGAGTCTCTTAGTCAAGGATGCTCTATCGCTGTCACCCAAGGAAAGGTGGTATGGGCACTAGGACAAGAGTTACCGGCTCTAGAACTACAAGGTAGCAAGTGTGGGCAGTGGTTGCTTAAGAGCTGAAAGTCTTGCCAGGGCTCACATCCACGTGTGGAAATCAAAAGGCAATGCCAGCACTGGTCCTGGTGGCACCCGCTTCCCTCACTTCTGGAGCCAGGCCTCACAGTCCAATCACGCAAGAGCTGCCACAGGCCAGGGGAAATGTGCTCCCTTCTCACTGGTCATTACGTGATAGTGGGAGACACAGCTGTGCAAGGCCACCAGCAAGCCAGTATAAGCACCCTATTTTGTCTTAGGGAGCAAGTAGAAACCTAGGAAAATTTGAAGATCACACCTCATGCTATTTCATCTCCAGTACTTACTGAATTCCAAAACAACAAAGGCTACCACAACAGGCCATGCTAGCAGCTCTGGCCTGGTCTCTGAGGCCCCTAGTTACTTCCAGGCCCACACCCAAGAGCCAGAGTTCTATAGCGACAGCCAAGTAGCTGCGGACTGCACTCTTGGAGCACTGCAGTGTGCTCAAAGCTGTCCCAAACACATGAAATTGCAGCCCTGGTCTGCTCTGAGCTTTCATTCCAAGAGTTCACAAGACAAGCCCTGACACAGCTTGGTACTACATGACCTCTGAAGGAGCCAGACCCAGCAGTGGAGTGCACTCAGAGATCTGAAGAGGAAGCCTGCAAGTTATTATTCTCCAATAGCCTGGACAGGGCAGACCTGATCACTCCCACCTTCATCTTCAAGAAAGGACTCCAGAAAACGACTAGACAGAGTGGGCTAAAAAGGCAGGTGCTGAGAACACAGGTAAGGACTGAAAGTGCTCCAACTGGTCCTTCCATGCATGTGCACTCAGGCCCATGCTGGCACACCCACACCCTTCCCGGGCTTGGTGGCTGCCATGTGTGATAAGCCAGAGACTCCCCATGCTGTGGATGAGAATGTGCCACCTTTTCCCATAGGCTGAGGGTCTGGGAGGGAAGCAGTTGCAAAAAGGTGGGTTTCTTGACCATCTGGCTGTGAGAAGTGCCTCACAGGCAAGCCTCAAGAAACAAGACAGGACAATTGGGGCTGTGGGCCCAGCCTTGAGTGGTGCAGATGCCACTGCTCCAAAGGCTGTAAGAAATGCTGAGACCATGGCTAGTGCTAAGACTGAGGCTTGGAGTATGGCAGACACCAGAGGACAGTGACCAATTAGCACCACTAGGAGCCTTATGAACTTTGAAAGAGCAGATATCTCTAAGTATAATGAGAACAGCAGCGGGAGCCTAGACCTCATCAGTGCTGCCATCTCCATTTGGAGCCTCCTGGGGCATCTGTGGCAGGCCAGCCCTTAGAGGTGCCGGCCAGCCACGCCTAGGAGAGCCAGAGCCATGCTGGGGGATGTCTACGGAGCTCTGCCTTTCCAAGGCCAGACCCTCACCTCTCCCGCTCATGACATGCTCTCGAGGATCTCAAAACCTGCAGGCAGTCCAGTCCCGGCCATTCTATAAATCTCACCTGGCCCTCTGAGGCAAATACTTCTGACATCCTCATTTTACCCTGAGAGGGAAACTGAGGCATACAGAGATGTTTAAAAAGTTGCCCAAAACCATACAGCTGCCTGGTAGAGTCTAGGTATCTGGATCCAGAGCCCAAGCATTAAATACTGTGGTTTGCTGCCTCTCTAGAGGATTAATGTCCAAAACATATAGAGAACTCCTAAAATTCAATGGCAAAAATAGGAAAAAATTCAATTAAAAAATGGGCAAAGGACTTCAACAGACATTTCTCCAGAGAAGACATACAAAATGGCCAACAAGCATATGAAAAAATGTTCAACATCATTAAACTATCAAGGAAATGCAAGTTAAAACCAGAATGAGATATCATCTCACATTTATTAGGATGGATACTATCAAAAGAAGAAAAAAGAAAAGAACAGTACTGGTGGTATATAGAGAAATTGGAACACTTATCCATTGCTAGTAGGAATGTAAAATGGTGCAGCCATCACGGAAAACAGTATGGTGGTTCCTCAAAAAATTAAAAATAGAATTACCTAGGATCCAGCAATTCCACTTCTGGGTATATATTCAAAAGAATTAAAAGCAGAGTCTTGAAGACATATTTATACATCCATGTTCACAGCAGCATTATTCACAATAACCAAGAGGGAAAGCAATCAGTGTCCTTTGATGGATAAATGGATAAGCAAGTTGTGGTATATCCATAAAATGGAACATTATTCAGCCTTAAAAAGGGAAATTCAGACATGCTACAACATGGATAAAACTTAAAGACATTATGCTAATTGACATAAGCCAGCCACAAAAGCACAAACACTGTATGAATCCACTTATATGAGGTCTCTAGAGTAGTTAAATTCATAGAGACAGAAAGAAGAATAGTGGTTGCCAGGAGCTGGGGAAAGGGAATATGGAGAGTTGTTGCTTATCAGGTATATAGTTTCAGTTTTGGAAGACGAGAAAGTTCTGTAGATATTTTACACAACAATGTGAATATACATAACATTAGTGAATTATACACTCAAAAGATTATGATAAATGTTATGTTATATGTATTTTTTTAAAAATATATTTTATTGATTTTTTACAGAGTGAAAGGGAGAGGGATGGAGAGCTAGAAACATTGATGAGAGAGAAATATCAATTCAGTTGCCTCCTGCACACTCCCTACTGGGGATGTGCCCGCAACCAAGGTACATGCCCTTGACCGGAATCGAACCTGGGACCCTTCAGTCCGCAGGCCAACGCTCTATCCACTGAGCCAAACCAGCTAGGGCTATGTTATATGTATTTTACTACAACTTTAAAAATGCTAATCAAAACCAATCCAAACATATATTTATAAGGTAGAGGGGTAAGGAAGGGTGGTAGGTGTGGTTATCGGTGTTGGAACTGCTCAGTGTCTTGACTGTGGTGGTGAATACACAAACCTAGACAGGTAAAATATTGTATAGAACTAAATACCCATCTACACACAAATTAGTACAAATAAAAGTGGGGAAATCTGTAAGGTCGGTGGATTGTGTCAATGTCAATGTGGTATTATACTATAGTTTTGCAAAATGTTACCACTGGGAGAAAATGGACAAAGTGTACAAAAGATCTCTCTATTTCTCATTATTTCATTGAATTGCATGTAATTCTACAATTATCTCAATGCGAAACACACATATACCATGGTCTGTTTTTTTAAAAACCAAATATATATGTTTTTGTGTGTGTGTAATAACATTAAGGTAATCAAGGTAAACAGCAAACAATCTTGTGCAGGTGATATACTCTACAACCCGCAGTCTCTCTGGAGATACTCTTGCACCTAAGCATTCTTAATATGCAGTGCACACCTCTAGCCAGATGCCTACCAGACATCTCATCTTTAACTTCTCTAAGACAGAATCCTGATCTTCACACCCATACCTGCTCTACTGGCTGTCCGCCCATCACAGTTAGGGCCATGCCTTAGACAGAAGAAGCCAACAGGCCGGGCACAACAGCCATATTGCCTGTGACTTTTCTGGCCTCATCTCCTGGTCCCCTTCCCTCTAATCACTGGTCTAGTGCCCTGGCCTCCTGGCTGTTCCTAGACTGCACCAGGTGCACTCCCACCCAGCGCCCTGCACTGGCTCCTTCCTGAGCAGGAAGCTCTTCTCCCAAATAGTACAGACCATGGCTCCTCCCTTGCCTTCTCCTAGCATTTACTCAATGTTGCCTTCTCACTGAGGCAACCCTAACCGACTTGAAAGTGTTACTTCCTCAACCAGGCACAACCCATCCCGCTAATACTGATCTATTTTTTTCCTAACTAATTTATTACATAGTATATAATTTCCTTTATTGTATCTCTGCTCACCCTGCCGACCAGAATGCAAACTCCAAGAGCTCCACAATTTTTGTCTGTTTCAGTCATGGAGTCATTCACAGCTATGGCTTGGTACTTAGCAAGCACTCAATAAATACTTGCTGTTGCTAATTGCTGGAGAAAAGTCCACAGCAAAGGCCCAAAATTCAAACACACCTTCACAGTGTCGATAGCATCCCAATCTTTGGAAGGTAGGCTTCTCATCTACTGAAGTGGGGACACAAATGTCATCAGCCACTTCACAGAGCCACCTGCTGCTATTATCTCTACTGCTTTCAACCACAAAAACTTCTCCAGCCTTAAGTAAGCAGTA